AGGGAGAAGCCCAACATCAACCACCTGTTTATGAACATGTTCTCCTATGTTGTTCATCAACATCTCCAGCAACTACAAAATAAAAGGATAAATGGATGATATTACATCTAACTACATAACATTAGAAAAATTTAAGTATTTAAAAAAATAATAATAATAAATAAATAAAAATAAAAACTCAGGTTTGAATGTCCCTTGATGTGCACAATTCAAGGAAAAAGAGAAGGGTAGGAAGGTACAAGAAAAACAACCAACATGATGGGTAACATAAACCAAATATCATCACAAAATCAGGCAATTACTCACCATAACTGCATAAAGTTGAGAATTTGCATGTTTACTCCCCAGTCGTTTTTTGATTGCTTTAATGACATCTCTAGCTTGCCTGTGCCAACCCAAAATTCATAAGTACTTATAAAGTAATTTCAGCTTAAATTTCAATTTCCAAGCTGTTAGGTGTAGGTAATGAGAAAGCAATTTATTAAACTTGTACATGGCTAGAAAGGGAACATCTGAGACGAACTTTCCAGATACAATACTCAAATCAACATATAATACATATTAGTTGATTCAGAACTTCCAACTCAAGGTCATAGGTTTCTTCGACAAAGTCGTATAGTCCCAATACAACGATGAAACCTAGATACAAATGTGTATAGTTCTTAAGGGATTAGCTACAAATGCTTATGAAAAAAAATTCAATCCTTTTTTGTCAAACTTAAATATCCTAAGGTCCCAATAACAATGATGTAACCTAGATACAAACAAATTATGTGCAACATCAACATCATATTAAACATGTCGCCCATAAAGTATGGATAGGTAAAATGGCATTAAGCCGGTTCGCACTATATACTGAACCAGAAATACCTTCTAATACATTGTCCCCCTTCCCAAGAAAATTAAAGGTCGTAATTAATGAACTCAGAAAAATCTTAGGACTACAAATCAAAATAACAAGCACACATGCATTCATAATGTGTTACCCTTTCTTCTGAGAGAGAGAGAGAGAGAGAGAGATTTGGAAGCTTTTAGAAATTATACCTATGATCATGCGCAACTAATTCACATATTTCAATATTCTTCGTCCAGTCCATTTCAGCCAGTTTTTCGCTTGTAGCAGAATTGACAAGCTCAGCAGCCATCGTTTGGTTCGTTCTGGACTTTAAAAAGTGAAGAGAAAGTAAGAATAGGAACTAAAGATAAATTCAATCATTGAGGTATAAGTTCAAGGACAACTATCCTCCCATAATATTCAAGGAAAAAGTGCCTATGCATCCTATGTTGTTCCTACTTGCACGCCTCTTGTGATTTCACAAGTGTCTATTTGTCATATATCATTGATAAACATGGACACAACTATCCTCCCATAATATTCACCCCCCGCCCCCCCTCCCCCAACCAAATCCATCTGTTTTGACCATTACGACCATCCATTATTGTCTCATTAGGCTACAAGGCTAATTGTCATACAATCTTCACATAAAACCCCGAACTAAGAATGCAAAGAACTTTCCTATAAAAATCCAATTTCAAGAGTAAAAAACTGTAGGTCTGAAATGTCAGAGGACGAGATGCCCCTAGAAACCCAAACTAAGTTCCATGATTCAGAAAGTAAATTTTGTTACAATAACAGATCCTCTGAAACAAAAGCCGCCAAATTTGCAAAAAAAAATAAAACAAATTTAGTGCTTCCCAAAACAATGAAGAAGCCAAATTTCATAAGAATGCCAAAGATCGGAACTTTATCCCACAAAGGCTCTAATCACTATACCCCAAAACAGTCAAACATAACCAAAGAACAGCCACCAGACCCTAAGAAAGTAACTTCAAACTCTAAATTACTGCATTTCGGTCACAGAAAAAATCATAAGTAGTCGATCCTACAGCCATTCAATTGACTATTACTCCAACCTACCAACTAGAAGAATTTTCTTCAATACTACGACCCATTCATATGCACATACATTTTTATATACTGAATAAGAAATAAAAAAGTAAATAAAATATCAAAAAGAATTAACCTGAGACGGAGAATTGGAATGTCAGCAGCAGCAACCTGAAAACTGATGGCACTTCATATGCCTATGGCACTCTACTCTGCAAGCAAACATTTTTCACATATTTTTCTTAAGAACAATAGTAAAACAATTAAATTCAATAAATATAATTGAAGAAAATGAAGGGAGGAAAAGGAAAACCCTTGGATTTCACTCCCGAGACGAAAGAAGAAGAAAAAAAGGACGATATATATATATATATGTATGTATGTATTACCAGTAAAGAAACAGGGAGAGAAAGAGGAAGAAGATGCAGATGAGCTGGTAAATCCTCAAGAGCTTAAGCATTTCTCCATGTACCCAAAACCCACACAGATCAAATCGAACAGAGTTTACACTGATTTGGTAGTAGAGCATATATAATATGATTGATTCCTGTTATTAACAACAAATTATGTATTTAATAATATTACAAAGCTTACTTAAATAAGTTTAATTTAAATAAATAAATAAAAGGTGATAGAAAATGTTAAAAGAAGTAGGAAAAGTTTAGATAGCCAGAGGGGCTTGAGGTGGGATGACGAATCTTGTCCAGTCTTTCCTTCTTACTTTACTTGCTAAGCTTAAAAAGATGGAAATGACAAAGGAGGTGGATTGTGTCTTCTCCTATTTTTATATTTTTTCTATACTCTTTTGTGATATGTGATCACGGTTAAGTTATTTTAATATTTTATATAAATTTTTTATAAAAATATAAAATGTTGACGTAATTTAACTGTGACCACACAAATAAAAAAACATGAAAAAAATATGAAAATAAGAAGGCAGACAATCCACCTCCAATGATAATGATAAATGATTGATATAATATAATATATGGAGTTGTCGAAGTATTGGCACCGCCAGGGCCCATCGGGCTCTATATTTCCTCGAAAAAGTAAAAACTTGGGTTTGGGTTTTCTCACAACTAGAAGAAAATTATTTTTAGCGGAGTTTGGGCGAGAGACGAGTGATGTCAGGATGGTTCACCTCCTTAAAAGTTTTCGTGTTGTATTTTTTTTTCTATGTTTTTTTGTTTTTTTTTTTTTTGCCTATTTTTAGCTTATTTTTGCTCGCCATCATTTAGTATGATGTATACTCATTATTCTATTTATTATTATTAGATGAGTTTGAATTTTGAGATTTGTGCTTATCCGCTACACAAATCTCGAAATTCAAACTCATCTAACGTTAATAAATAAGGTGATGAGTATACATCACACTAAATGGTGGTGAGCAAAAATAGTCCCATTTTTAGCGGCTCGTTTGTTTTCTCGTTTCGGCGATTCCTGTAGGGAGGAAGGCCATAAGGTTTTGGAGTATGCCCAAAGTATGGTTGAATACAATTACGAGGCATAAATTAACAGATGTGATCATACCAACTCACAGGCATACTATGAACTTAAGCAAGTTCAGATGAGAGTAATCAAGTTCAGATGAAAGTAGTATTATGATAGGTGACCTCTTAAGAGTCTTAGTGTTGCATCCCCTTTTTTTTTTTTTTACTTTTCTTAATTTGTTGCCTATTTTTAGCGGCTCATTTGTTGAGTGCTATTAAGCCCATCCCATTGTCTTATTTTCATACTCACGATTAATTGATACTCTTATTGACAAATTTATCCTAGTCTAAAATGACCTTTAAAGACCTAAAGACCAACCAATCATGTCCTACCACATAATTATTAGTTATATTGATTCTTTTTATACTGATATAAAAACAAACCTAAAATATCATAAATAAGAAAAAGAAAAAAAATATCATGAACCCCACAGGCTTTCCTGGGAAGGAAGTTCATGAATTAAACTTATTAGGAAGAGGGTGAATTCGGATTTGACAAAGCAAAGCCTCGAGGCTCACAATAAAGCACATGTTAAAGGTTTTTATTAAAATTTTATTTTTAGGCTCACTCATCATTATTTTTCGTCCGTTCAGGTGTTAGTATCAGAGTTTCTGTACTGACGAGGATTATTGACAAATCTTGGTGTAGGCGATTATCATCGATAATATAATTCTGACCTTATTTTACTATACTATACTTATGCTTTGTCATCACGTGTGAATTGGGTTTATTCCCGCTCACAATACACTCTTGTACTTAGGCACTTTTAGGTTTAAATTTATTCACATCATCCACATCAATATACTTTATGGCTTCGTCACCTTCCAGGTGTTGGCCAACACAGCTCGATTCGGAGTCTTAGTAGACATCCCAGGTCGGGGTGTGTCAATTTAATCACGCTCTCTCTTGTGTGGTCTGAATTCAAATTGGAAACGATAAAAATTGGGTACTGTAGCGGTTTTCGAGACGTGGCGGTGCTGCGATGGTTGGCGATAGAGGAGGGGCGCTTGGTGTTGGGGATTTGGGGAGTCGGTAGTGACGGTTCTGAAAATTTTCTAGGGAGTAGGCTGCTGTTGGTGATATTTAGAGTTCTTGGGTATTTTCATTTAGTGATAATTGTTTTTTTTTTTTTTTAATTTATAATAATTTTTATCATTTTTTATGGTGAGTGTAAATATGAAATGAGCAGAGAAATAAGGCATTGAAATGGCATATCACCACTCAATTTGTTTTCTCGTTTCAAGGACTCGGGGCTCTTGGGATATGATGATGGCCGATTAATTTAATAATAATAATATCTAGCTGCTCTGGTAGAGAGGAGGGCCATAAAGTTCATGCACCATGGCCAAAGCAATGGTTTTAACAATTACCAGGCATGAATGGTCGAATGCAATCATACCAATTCACATGCATCGAAACCGGATTCCAACAGAAACTTTGAAATTAAGCGAGCTTGAATGAGGGTAGTACTAGGATAGGATGACCTCTTGGAAAGTCCTCGTATTGTATCCCCTCCATTATAGGGTTTGACAACGAACGATAAATGTACTAAGAATATCTAATGGCTCTTGTCGGAAGGCCCAATAAAATCATACAAAGCAATGATTATATACAATTACGAGTCATAAACTAACATATGTGATTAATGAAGGTACACAACTATACAAATTAACTGTTAAATCTTGTGCATATTTTCATTTATCTCAATGGATGAATGTAGCAAACTTATAATTACTTCATTTTAAGCTTTGGCCGTCTTTTAGCAGGTGAATCCGAGCTTGACACGCCCTCTTTTAGCCTTATTAGGCTGCATCTTGACTCGCCTGCGTCGAAACATTTGCCACCAATGCAACTTCTTCTTCTTCCTAATAATGCAACTTCTTCTTCCTCCTCCTCCTCCTACTCCTCCCTTTGACAAGTAGTTACTTGATTTCTTCGAATGCCTTATGTGCCTCAACAGCCCTTCCAACAGAGCATGAAAATGCCCAACCTCCCCCTGCTTATTATGCAACATGTTTTTCACTTTCACCAATGATTTTTTGCTCCCTCTGCTTTCTCGGATGCCATGCGGGTTTTTGTGGCTGTCAAACATCTTCCTCCGTAGGTGTTTCCACCCAGAATGGCCGCGATCATCATCACTATTACCATTTCCGTCATAGTGGTGATGGTGATGGTGATGGTGATGGTGGTGAAATATGAGTCCCAACCTGTTCTTGAGCCTCCTAAATCGTCCAACGGACTTCTCCGGATATCTTTTACGGCTATAGAGATTATCCTCCTCCTCCTCCATTGATGAGCTACAGCTACTATTCCGTGAACTACTACTAGCATTTACTTCTGCCGCCGTATTTATCGACCTTGTTGAGGAAGAGAGATCACCTCTCATTCTCATATGATTATCACGAGTACGTCTCCTAGATAGGCCTCGACTCCAGGAATCCTCCTTTGAGTATTCATTACTATCAGCGCTGCTTTCAGCTTCAGAATTTGTCTCACTTGTCCACGTCGACCAAGTTTCGGAATCAGTACAACCTGAGCTAGTCTCCTCCTCCATATCCAACACTTGCTTTCGTGGCATTCTCTTCTTCTGTCGGCCTGCAGAAGACATTTTGTGTGTCCCACTAGGCTTGTGTTCATCTAACAAAATTGGCTTCACGGTCATTGTATGATGTCTCTTGTTTGTCACTAGACTAATTTTCCGAGTTTGACTCATCAACTTCTTACAACTAGGTCCATGTCCAACTGAAGAAACTATGGACTCAGGTGGCACGAACTGATTAGATCTTGCAGCCCCTATTTTTCTAGTAGTTGCATTTTGGACTGGAGTGGTTTTCCATGTTTGATCAGGTGTCTTAACGTGCATAGAAGCCTGATTTGGAGGAGGGACCCTTAGACCATTCACATGACCTGCCATCTTCTCATTCCGACTCACTGGTTGACTCGGAGGGAACCTCCGCGATCCAAGTCTCTCCATCAGGCCCTTAGAGGAACCATGTTCCCTGGAATTAGAAGCATACCTCCCTGTCGGATCTTGAGACAGTAATTGACTCGCCTGACGAGTTAGCAACTGAGTTCCACCCAACAAAGGAAAAGACTTATCCATACCACTCAGCTCTCTTCTAGTAATAGTAGTACTAATAGTAGTAGGAGCTACCTGTTCTTCTATCTGCGCTGTAGGAGTAGGAGTAGAAGGACTAAATGAAATGTCACGCTTGAAAGAATAATGTTCATTAGCATCGTTGTTGAAAGAATTCGCCATCCCAAAAGAACTCAACTGCACAGCCAAAATGCGCAACTCAATTTGTTCGATTGCATTTGCAACTACTTTAGAGTAATCACTGCCCTCATCTGACTTTTCCTCGCTCTGGCCAATCAGGGTACAAACCGACTTCTTGCTTGCTAGCCATTCTTGTTGGAGATATTGGGGAACAAACACCAAAACTAACAATGCTTGGATTTCCAAGAGTTTCACTGATGTCATTCCCTCTCTCTGTGGACTTTGTATTAGATTCTTGTAACCTTTTAGCATGCTCATCGAGAACATTGAGATGACTACGCCAATCATGTTGCTTATCTTGACTAACACTGTTTTCGTCAGGTACCTTGACTCTGTCATTGGAGAATTTTGCATCCTTGGCTGAGTACTGTTTCTTCAGATTGTTTTCTAAGCAGATTCGACACACTTTCTTTTTCTGTTCAGGCAGGTCCGATGAGTTGCTTACTTTAGACTCCGCAATTTCTCTCTCAGGCTTCAGCTTCTTCAGTGACCCATCCTCCTCAGGTGCGAACGTGTACTTTTTAGAATCCTTTGCATCATCATTCAAGACTCTGTTAGGAGAAGATTTCACTGTCACTGTTGGGGAAATAGGAGAATTCTTCTTAGGCACAGCCTTGGGTTGCTCTGGTTGAGAGGGGCCAGGTTTGCTACTAACAGCTGCCTGAGTTGTTATCATCTGCAAAACCAAGAACATTAGAAACAAAGTTAGAAATAAAAGTCACCGGATGAATTAATTATACCGCATAAATCCTATGTCGTAGAAAATTATAAATTCACAAGGGAGAAGCAGGGAAGAAAATCACAAAGCAGAGCTAATACTGCAGAAGTGCACCGATGCCTCAAAAGTACCTTCAAATGAGTATTCAAAATCCTTTCAGCAGCATCATCTAGAAGATTCTTTAACAATTGTCGCGCTCTCGTGTCCAAAGCTTTTTCCACCTTCACGAAAATGATATCAGGAACCAACAGAACATAGAAAGTCATGTTATAAACCAAAAGAGCATAGAGTGCTAACTTACATTGTTTGAATTTATATGTTGCGGCCAGCCTTCGCCATTTTGGAGGAGTCCATATAACTGTCTCAATGCATAGAGATCAGACAAGAGTTCCACAGGATTCATGCTTTATCACTGGAACCGAACCTGTAAGCATGCATTTCCAACAAAGATGAAGTTTACAAACAATGAATTGAGTTATAATAAAGGAAGAAAATTCAGATATCACTAACTAACATCAGTAGGTAATTGAATTTGATTTTGATCACTTGACATCAATGTTTACTTAGTACTTACAAGGAATAAGAATTGCAATCGTTTTATTTTTTAAGTTCCTGCGTTTACTAAAGTGTAGGTATGTGAAGCATTTCACTCCCTAACTTTCCCCCGCGTTTACTTACACATATGAATTCGGAAAACTATAGGTTTCCTTTTGAAATTCTTAATCAAATACCAAATCAAGAATCATATCAATTAGGGGTAGTTGACCCCATTCCCTTCCTTACTCCCTCTGTTTCTAAGTTTTCCGATTCCTTCCTTTTTCCATTTTTGTTATCCGATTCCTAATTACTTAACAAAGAAGGCTTATACCATTAAACGAAAGAATTTGAGAAGAAAAAAACATGAAATTGATTGATTATTCAACAAGTGGCAGTGTTAGTGTTGCATACTGACAAAGAATTTATCATCTACCAATGTTTAGGCGAGGGACTTCCAAATCTCGAGAAAGGAATGCACAACATGATCATTTCATAAGTTATGTAAGAGAGATTTGGAAATTACCACTCCAAGTTCCAAATCTATGTTGAATTGGATTAGTAATTTCCAATTCTCTCGTACATAACTTTGTAACGCTCATGTAGACTGTAGTGCATTTCTAATCACTCCTATCTAACATTTTTACTGTCCATAAAAGTTGGTCTTAATACCACCTAAACAAATTGCAAATGATTCCTCTCAAGTAGTCATTTGCAAATTTTGCAATCCAATCTTTGAATCTAGAAAATAGGAATTTCGGGAAAATAGGATTATTCTCAACCATAATTTACCAATTTTCAGCAAAAACTGGATTTTCTCAACTGCCATAAACTCAGTATCAATCAAGTTAAAATCACATTCTAATAATCACGTTTTCACCAAACAAATTGTGAATACGTGATGATGATGATGATGATGATAAAAATAATAATAATAATATGAGAGAGTGAGAGAGAAAGAGAGAGAGAGAGAGAGAGAGAGATTGGAGTGGGGTTTTACATTGATCACAGAAATTCTAGAAATTGAACAGGCAACATCAAAAAAGCAAAATATATAAATTCCAAATAATGAAAAATGCGAAAATGCAGTTAGAGAGAGAGAGATAGAGACCTGAATGTGGTTGTGGTTTGAGCCTAGTTTACGTGCGCTGCTTGAGACTGGTTGAGGGGGAGAGGGAGAGAGAGAGAGGGAGGGAAATTACGTTAAGGGTCCGATGACAGGGTAGTTGTCGACTTGATGGAATAGGGAAAGGTTACAACCCATTTGCAAGCGAACTGGAGAAACAGGAGGGAAAACTGCCGCTTTATATTTTTGGAAGCTTGACGATATTCTTTTCATTTTAACGAAAAATCACACTTTTACATTAAAAAATCAATCATGGTACCATTAATTTTACCTTTTATTTTGTCATTATTGTTAAAATTCAAAGTTTTCAAATCATTTTCATTAGTTTTCCTTTTATTTTTTAAACTTATTAATTGATTGCTCTCAAACTGTTATTTAGTCTCATTTTAGCGGGGTGTTTGTTTACCCTCACTAGATTTCACTACACTAGACTAGATTAATTTTAGGATCTGGGTTCTCTGGAATACGTGTGATGTGGGTTTTCTAAAATAAGTATGATTAGCTTGGAAGTTCATGAGGTCAATCAGGAGTTTTCATAACTAAAAATTGAAAATTAAAATCTAGTCCTAACTAGTATGATACTGTATCAAACGTTTCACAATTGTAGTACGCCTTAATCCATGTCATGCCAATCCAATTTAGTCTCTAAAGCTAATTCAGTCCAAGATAGTCCAGTACAACAAATGCACTATGAAAGTGTTATTTTCGTCTCATTAAGTCTCAGTTCACCCTGTTTTTATTCATTTTGTCAAGTAAATATTTAATTAAAGAGTAGTATGGACATTTCATTTTGACACAACTTTTTGCCTTTAATATGCCCACTAAAACAATCTAATTTCCGTTTTTTAACAACTCTAATTCAAACCCATGATTTTCTCCAATTGTACGACGAATTGTCATCGTTGCCAAGAATATTAGTTATCAACAGAACTCAAGAATTAGATTCTCAAGGCTAAACTTCTTTCTCCTCTTTCACCGACCTTATAAGTTGTGTCCCTAACTTTTCTTGTTACAATTCACATTCCCCCTCATAAGTATGTGATGATCAACCAAATTTCTCATATAAGTGCCACGCGACCAATAAAGTGACTTATCTCTGCTTGTGTAACAAATGAAGTGTCTATACTACCCTTTAATTTAACATTTACTTGACAAAATGGACAAAAATAGAGTGAATTGAGAGCAAATGAGACGAAAATAAGACAAAACCAATTTAATGGGGGTGAAATGAGACTAAATGACAGTTTCATGAGGTAAATCAATTAATTAAAAAATTTATATGACACAGGTACACTAGTCAATAAAATTAGAAAATATACACAAACACTTACACATGTCTTTTTTTCATTTGCATGTGATGTCAGAATAATAGTGTAGTCATGTCTTATAAATCATTATGACGAGACAGGGGTCTAGTTGCATTGAAGGACTTATATATCATGAGCACACTATTACAGTGATGTGGCATACAATTGAAATAGGAATGAAGATTATCTACCTCCTATTTCCATTTACTTCCATCTCCTCCTCTCATATATATTTTTTTTTTCTTATTATCTTTATAAAAAAATCAATATAAGATGTTAACATGACTTAACCGTGACCGTTTAGATAGGAAATCATGAAAAGGTAAAAAGATTAGAAGGGTAGCGAATCTCTGTCATAAAATAGAGACGTATGTAAGTGTTTATCCATGTGTACTTATTTCATTGACGCAGAAGACGACATAGCGGTATAGCTTGTGTGTTGGTGAATTCCAGGGATTAAGTGGCGCGACCTTACTGGTTGGAGAGAACAAGGGGAAAGTGAGACGTTGCTGGAAAGTAAGGGGATGAATGATACAGTAGACGGGAGAGCGAGAGGTTGATGGGCGGGAATGAGGGTGACACGCCACCATTTAAGCTCAAGGAAGAAGAAAGAAAGAAAGAAAGAAGACAAAGGCAGAGGTGTTGATGATGATAAAACAGATTTGTCCTTTTCCATGGACCTCAACCTGGAAGAAGAAAAACCTCTCTTCCAAATTAAAATTAAATTAAATCAAAATTAAAAGAAATAAAGAAAGAAGCTTTGCCCCTGCTTCCTCCTCCTCCTCCTCCTCCTCCTCAGTCCTGAGATGTGCAGCATCTGCAGGTTGGTTGTCTTCTACTTATTTACTGCCATTCAATTCATTTTTTTCAATTTATTTATACTTGTAGAAAACAATATCTTTTGAATATTTATATATATATTCCTTGTAATTGATAAGTGACTACAAATGGATTGGGTTTAGTTGGTAGTATATCTATTTCCAGTTTCTTGGGATATCCTTGGCCGTTGGGTGGGTGAAGGGTCAGGACTCATCAGCATCAGCAAGCAAGCTAAGCAAGTGTGTTCCATCCCAGTTGTATTGCTTTTTAATTAAGGGGTACTTTGAATCTACATACAAATAGAGACAGAGTCCTAGGTCTTTCTCTCTCTCTTTCTTTGTTTGGGTTGGTAACTTGGTAGTTGGTGCTGGAATACTGGTGGAGGTTGGTTGGATCAAAATTTGGACTGTATATTTTAAGTGAGTTCTAAGCAATTCTGCTGACGATCGAACATTTGCTATACAGCAAGTTACTCAACTGGGTTCTGATTTAAATTATCGTATCTTTGTTTGAACCTTAAGTTTCAAGCACAACAGTGTATCTGGGGTCTCGAGTCAAGGTGGCCTGTTGCTTTCTAATGGTGCATAACATTATCATGAAACTTTGATGATAATGTAGGCCAAGGCTCTGATCGAGATGCTGCGGCGTTGCTGATATTCCAGATGGACAGGCGGAGTCGGCTGTGGCAAAGGAAGTCATCAGACAAGAGTCCTGGCGACACTGAGAGTTCGGGATCCATATCTTCTCACTCTGAAAGATTTTCTGATGATCAGGTTTATGGCTTTCGCAATAATTGTTCTCGTACAGTTAAGTTTGCATTTTGAAGTATGATTACTGATTGGATTGTCGAATTGCATGAATGTTGCAGATGTGAATGTTTCTGCTTAACATTTTGTTACTTAAATCATTGTTTCTCTCGGTTGCACAAAACTATTTTTTCATCTCTCTTTCTCTCTCTAACAAGGTGAAAAAAAAAAGCAAGTGAATTCATTGTCAAAAAGTTAAAGGCTGTCCTGTGTTGTTGAGTTCCACCTGAATATTTGTCCTCCAAGTGCATGATTATTTCTCTGTTCAAGTGATGTTATTGACCAAACTCCAATGTTTCTTACTTTGATGTCAAAGGCAAATCCAACTCATAGCATTCTATCGCCGGAAGTCACTTCTAAAGCTCCACCCGATGATCGACAAGTTAATGGGAGTGTTGAGGCTTTGACGGAGAAATTATCCGCTGCTCTTCTTAACTGTAGTGCCAAAGATGATTTGGTAAAGCAGCATGCTAAGGTTGCAGAAGAAGCTGTCTCAGGTCTTAACTTTTCTGCTTTCCATTTTATCCCACTATATTTTACTGCAGTTTGAAATTTAGGCTACTTTCTTGAATCTTGTTGTGCATAATCTGTATTCTTTACTCTGAAAAAGGAAACTCTAAGGATGCGAGTCTCAAAATTAATAACCGAAATTAGAGAAAACATATAAACGATATAAATAGAAAGCTAAAGTGTTTCTCAACTGCGTTTTCTTCCTATTTCAAGGCACATTTTGTTATGAATGGTATTTGATGACTATATATCCGCATTGTTCGCATACTTATGCAATCTGCCATTACTGGATTTTGCTGAAACAGTTTTCGTTTTCCAAGAACAAGAATTTCATGAAAGTCATATTCTTAATGTTTCTTCAAGTATTTGTACAATGGGTGTCGTCGATACTTTTACATTATATTGCATTTCCCTGTTTTAAAAAGGGTCTCATTAGTTGTTCCTCTATTCCATTATAATGGTAGGCTGGGAGAAGGCTGAAAATGAAGCGGTTGGTTTAAGACAGCAGCTTGAGGCTGCAAATAAGAAAAAATCAGCTCTTGAAGACCGAGTTGGTCATCTCGATGGAGCGCTGAAAGAATGCGTGAGGCAGCTTCGACAGGCACGAGAAGAGCAAGACAAGAATACCAATGATGTTGTTGCCAAAAGAACTCGTGAGTGGGAAAGTTCAAAGTCCATGCTTGAGAGTCAGATTGTTGAGCTCGAAGCACAACTTCAAACTGCTAAATCGGGAGCTGCTGCCTCAATTGATTTTGATTTGCTTTCAAAGCTTGATGCTACTGAAAAAGAGAACTCTGATCTTCAACTTAAGCTTCTTTCTCGAGTGAAGGAGCTAGAAGTCAGGACTATTGAGAGAGATTTGAGCACCCAAGCTGCTGAAACAGCCAGCAAGCAATATTTAGAGAGCATAAAAAAAGTGGCTAAGCTTGAAGCTGAGTGCCGTAAGCTAAAAGTCTTGACTCGCAAAGCATTACCGGCTAATGATCACAAATCCTTTTCCGCATCCTCAGTTTGTGCAGAATCTTTTACAGATAGCCAGTCAGATAGTTGGGAGAGGATAGTGGCAATTGATCTGGATACCGATACACACAAAGTGAGTGGCTTGGAGCATGATCCAAGTCATTCAGATTCACGGGCTCCTGCTCAAATAACAGAACCTGGCCAGTTTAAGAACAAGAAGAGGTTTGGAAAATATGTCCCTTCAGTAGAAATCAATCTCATGGATGATTTTCTTGAAATGGAAAGGCTTGCCGCAACTCCAGATACAGAAAATGACAACTGTCGTCAACCTAGCGTTAGGGAAAACCCTTTAAAAACTGAACCTGAAACCATGATACAAAGGACCGTGGAACTTGAGGGGAAGTTAGAGAAGATGGCAGCAGAAAAAGTGGAACTCGAGATGACTCTGACTGAGTGTCAAAAGCAGCTTGAGACATCACAGAGTCAACTTATGGAGGCTGATACGAAGTTGGAAGACCTTAAAAGACAGTTGGCTCATGCAAATGACTCGATGTATGATGCACAGGAAGAAGTAAAGTCCTATCAAACAATGAGAGAAGTTGCAGAGTCACAACTAAGAGCTGTTCAAAAGGAATACAACTCCTTGCTTTTAAAGGCTAGTTCACTGGAAGAAGAGGTTTCTAAGGAGCGAGATTTATCAGCTGAAAATGTAGCCAAATG